TCAGTGATGGCTCCAAGAACTCGGCATCTGAAAATGGATGTTATGTTTAATTGATATAATTAAGGCCTCTTAAACCAAGACTTTTATCTAAAACTTTCCAGCTGTTGGATATTCTTATGCATTTTACCAATAGCCTGGGAAACAATTTTGTAAAGAGTATTGACAGAAAGTGATTTAATCTGTCAGATTTATTTTTTCTTTGAACTTTTCAGTGTAAGATCATTCTAGTAGCTCTTCATGGGACTTCCCCTTTGGTTTTTTTCATTTTAAATCCCAGATTTATGGACACTGTATTTTACTCCAGAAGTGGTTGCACCAGTGCCAAAACCAGATAAAACAGACTCTAATGTACTCTTGCTTAATCTTTCCTGTTGATAAATCTAAGGATTAGATTACCATTTCCGAACAACAACAGCAGTCTACGAGTTCATGCTCAGTTGCCTCTCTTGCTCCTGATCCACCACCAACCTTTTCTAGTTCTCATCCTGCATGGCCAGGCTCCACTAACTGTCTTTCCATATATGATCTTACATTTTGATGTGCTGCATATGAATAATCATACTTGCATTGTTCTTAGCAAGTGATTTGGATCAGCTTGTATTGGTAATCCATTGTCTTCATTATTTACCAGTTTCCTGGTCTCTGTGTCTTCTGTACACTTAATGGGTAATACTTCCATGTCATTAATAAGAACGTTAATGAAATAGAGCAGCAGAATTAATCCAAGAATGACCTCACCAGATTAATACCAAATTACTGACGTTTTTCTGATTACTTTTTAAGAACCATCAGTCAGGTTTTTAAAAAACATATTTTAATGCCACACTAATAAGGCTATGAGGATGATTAAGTGACTGGAACACCTGCCTTGCAAGGAAAGGCTAAGAGACCTGGGCCTATTCAGTCTAGAGAAGAAGGCTGACTGGGAATCTAATTAATGTCTATAAATACATGAGGGCTGAGCATCAAGAAGGCAGACACAACCTCTTTTCACTTGTGCCTTGTGATAGGATGAGGGGCAATGGATTCAAACCCGAGAACAGGAATGTCCACCTCAACATAAGGAACAACTTCTTTACTGTGAGGGTTACAGAGCACTGGAACAGGCTCCCCAGAGAGGTTGTGGAATCTCCTTCTCTGGAGACTTTCAAGACCTGTCTGGATGCCTTTCTGAGTGATCTGCCCTAGTTTGTTGGTTTTTTTTGTCCTGCTCTGGCAGGGGGGTTGGACTTGATGATCTTCAGAAGTCCCTTCCAACCTCTAATATTCTGTGATTCTATGAATTAGCCTTTGCATTACTCCGGCTTCCTTGTCAGAATAAATAACTGTATAAAAGCAAATCAGGCCACATTCTTGATTGAGGATGATTCCTCTGTCACACCTGAAGATTTCAAACTTGTTTGACAAGGTCTTTTACAACGCAAGTTGGTTGGAAATTCTTACACCTCTTTATTTTTAAATTCTTAATTAATGAAGTCTGCTGTCAACAATTCAATTGTTTTGCCTCAGATGAATGCTAGGCTATCTGGATGTCATTCAAGAAGTCATTCTGTTCATCTCATTAATAATGACACACTGTATTTTTTCTATTGGAGTATCAAAAATGATTTGATGAAACAATCCTTATAAAAAAGAAACAGTACACAATTATCTAGACCTCTTCATTTGCTAAAGGTTAACTTTAGGATCTATAACTAATATCTTCCTGAGTTTCTCTTGGCCCAGAAATAATTTTATTATCAGACATTCTGAATTTGCTAACTTCGCCATTTCTTCTAACATGGAATAGAAATGCTACTTGTAATCTCTCCTTGCCTGTGTAATTATTGCAAGTTCTACTCTTTCTAGATAAGAATGAAATTCAGATTCACACTAAGCTGAATGTGTAGTTTTAAAACTCCTTCTCCATTTCCTGACTAAAAAGAAAGTATTTTTTTTCACAACCGTGTAGAACACAAACATTGTTAGACATATGCATTTTAAAGAGATTTATATTTTGATGCACTTTGCCTGTTTTTAGAGCCTACAATTAACACAGAGAAGAAAATGGGAGATTGTCTGGACTGGATCAGACCATTGGCCAGCATCCTGTCTCCAACAGTAGTCAAAAGCAGACCTTTGGAGAAGAGTGCAAATCCCACTACCGCTCAAATATCCACTGAAGTATAACAAACATTGTTGGGAGGCAATATATGTATGTACATCTGCAAATACTGCAATTATGCATCTAAATACACACAAACTGCACACACATGTACATACATACACACACTAACACATGTCTGTGTTTATGGATGCAATAAAGACTCATATTTCAAATGCCTGTCAGTATCTGCTATCAACTATCCCTTCTCATTTTCAAAAAAAAGGATAACATAAAGGACTGGAATATTTTTTCCTCACTCCAGTCTGGTGTAGTGGGTTCTAGCTAGCAGACTATGTCCAGAGGAAGATTTGACAGAAGTGAGCTTTGCCTGTCTCTAGGTTGCAAAGCTCAGCATTAGGAGGCAAGAGGGCAGTGAAAGTGAAAAGGTTTCTTACTCACCGAGCTGTTTCCTACTCCTTTTTCCATTGCTGAATGTGACTCTTTATTAGCTGGGTTCTTTGGTGCAGCAAATTCTGATTTCTTATTTTTTGTATCAGGTTTCTTTTCTTTGGCAGCTGGTTTACCCCCAGATCTAGCAGGACTTGGTTTCTGTGAGGGTGTTATCCGTGCAAGTGTTGATGGTGATGGGTTTACATATTCATCTTCTTCCCTGAGGTCCTGTGGAAGTACTGTTGGATTCATTTTTACATAATAACCATGGTAGTGACCATGCAGCTCCCCATTCTCTGTGCTGGTGGGATTGTGATGTGCTGAAAACTTCGCCTGGTGTTTCACGTCTACTTCCTCCTTCACTGGTGCTTTTGAATACAAAGGCTTGTTAACGGTGGGTGTTATGTTCTCAGTGGCTAAATGCTTTTTTTCTTGATTGTGTCTTGTCCCAGAAGCAGAGCTTTGACTTATAAGTTGTTTTGAAGGAGAAGACTCAGAAGAAAGTGTAGGACTATGCCTTGGACTTCCTTCTGGGGTTTGAGGGGGTGTAGTACCTTTTCGATAAAAGTGAGGTGACTCTTTTGGGGTAGATGGTTTTTCCTGAACTTTTTCTTCAGCTTTTTCTTTCACTTCCATTCCCTCTTGAAATTTTTGTTTGATATAATCAGGGCCTGAAAAATAGTGTAATAGAAATATCATGATTAAAACAAAACCAAGACTTCACAGTAAAATTACTGCAATGGCATGTCAGACTAACTGGACTGCCTTACTCCAGGGGTGAGTGTTACCAAAAATTGGGTGACATCCATAGTGATTTACTCTAAATTGCTCAATAGTTGAGTGGACTGTACTTTCTGGTAATTGTTCGGACAATTTACTAATTTGGATCAGTCACTTAGATCTTCAGCTTTGTAAAGGGTCCTAGGACATAAATTGTCTCCGAGTGAAGTCTGAGGGACTGAAGACTGATGTACCTTACCTGTGTGAAATTCTTTTTCTGAGAGGCATCTTCCAAGGTGTGTTGCTTAACTATCCTAATCTATTTAACTTCTACTCTAATGATCACAGTATCTTTTTGACATGTAAGTAATTAACTATCAGAATGAAACGTCTCTTCTGCTCTCGTAAATACAGGAAATAATACAGGAAATTTTTTCCTCTTTGTGCACTTGAGCTTGTTTTATATACATTTGCATGTGCCTTCAACTGACACACTGGCTTTGTCTTCCTAATCTGATCACTTACCACATGAATACCCAGGCTATCCACTCTAGGTGGTAACACAGTTCAGCTTAGAAGCTAGTAAGACAAATTCTTTCACATAAGGAAAATACTTACAGAGCAGCCAGTATGAAGAATACCTTCCCTCCAAATTCTAGCTGAACACCCATGAGAACATTCACCACTAGGACTCACTTCTCAAGGTGCTTTTCTAATTAACTGTTTACATAAAAACAAGCTGGCTCAGATGCTTTGCTCTAGGTTGTGGTTGTCTAATTAACAAGTTCAATGCTAAGATTTGAGCAAAAACTCTGTTGAAAAAAACAAACACCAACATAGCTGAAAATCAGTCTGTATTGTGGACAGCTTCTTCTGTTTTTCTTCTGAGAGGTCACATCCCAAATTCCAGGATCAGGTCCTGTGAGAAGTCAGAAGCTGGGGAGCTCTGTGAACAAAGAACTGCAACAAGCTTTCTCTACGTTCAATAATAGTGGCTTCTGGCAAATGCATCACAATTGTTTCTCCACTTCTGTTTTTGCTTGCACCATTACTTTCACTTGACTGTTTTTATCTTCTGTAAGTGAGGCTCATCTGTGTTTTATGTCATAGAAAAATTCTGTGCCCAGAGAAGACTGTCTGCATGCATTTTTCTGCTTTTGAGTATAAAGGATGCTCAGGCTGTGTTAGGCAGATACAGTGGTTTTACAGATGCCAGAAGCATATGCATGACTATACAGTGCTAAGATGAGAGGAAGGAAGAACAGCATGAAGTTTTTGGAAGTTACTGAGTCATCTGGTGAGCAAGTATTGCTGAGAAGGTGGATTACATGGCATGCAATGTCTTTTAAGCAGGAAAATCACCATGTTTTTAGTGTCTCTGAAAACCAGGGGTGGAAACAGGGAGCTGTTGACAAAGAAGGCTGGATGTAGACAAGTCAGGATTTGTTTTCAAATGACATTTGAGGAGGAAGCTTTAAGGAGGTAAGCCTGCACAGAGGGAAAGGACTAAGGGCTTGGTTCTTATGGCTTTTTATAATCTGCTTGGTAAAAGGCAAAGGCAGCACAACATAAATTAGAAGTTGTCACAGATAAAGTTACAGATATGATCACCATTCACAGAATTCTCCATCATGTAGGGGATTTCCTTCTGTCTTTGCTAAGATGCAGAAGGTAATGCTGAGGGTTTTAACAAGCATAAACTTTAGTTTTCTTCTGTTTTCACATGGGATATAATTAGGGTGTAAAGAGAAAAGGACAGCTAAAAGAGCTGTGCCTAACCTTTAAGCCCAAGCCATGGAGCAGTCCAATTGCAATGACTACTCATTATGGATACATCCACATCCACATCCACATTAGTTTGCTCCTTATGACTGCTGTGGTGAAAGCATCCCACTGGAATATCATCTCTTCAGCCATACAATGCAGCTGAAATGGCATCTGATCTGTTTCTCACCTATCTAGAAAATTCACATCCTGTGTCAGCTCTCTTCTGCCCATTATATATAAAGATAAGATTTTTAATAATATCTGACAGTGCTTGACGGGCTGAAGAGACTTTCATAAGGAACACATCTGGGCCTTAGAAAAGTCACCTCTCTCCACTGTTTTCTGTTATCAACCGTCAGCCTCCCAAGGCCGGCCAGAGGGACTCCCTCTCCTTCTAAGACCTCCAGACTGAAACACGAAGGGAGACAGGTCTCAGCTGCCCATGTCTCCACTACAGACTGACAGAGTGAAAACAAAAAAATTTAAACCAAACCAAAACCATATTTTTTAACTGGAGCTCTGTAAAGAAGTATCAACAGACTAACCATGTCGTGAGATTTTTACTGGGTATTTGGTGATATTTGATGCTAAGTGACACTGAGCCCCACCAGAGAAAGCTGTAGCCATCTGCATCCAACTAACATCAGAGGGTTTCTGACCACTCAGCATTTGCCTTAACATAACATAGCAGCTCTCCCTCCCACCCCACAGTACATCACAGATGGCTACTAGAGATACATCCTTTGCCTCCAATTTTGCCAGGCAGGTCTTTCCAACACTCAAATTCTTGGCTCTAGGCTGAAGTTAGCCTTGGAGATTGTCCAAAGACTTTTTTTACATCTGTTCTCTGTATTCAGTACAATCAGATTATGCACCTGTCTGAACCACTGACTTCAAGCAGCAAGAACACAGTTCCCATTCCTTTCTAAGGTCTAAGAGTACTTGTCAGAACTTACCTTGTCCCCCTCGTTAAAAGCATTATCTAATGCAACAGAGGCCTTTTTCTTTAGCATAAGTGTACTCCACAGCACATGTTTAAAGGAATAAGGGCCAAGGGAATCTGGAAAGGGAGTCACAAGCACCTCAACCTAGAAGATTTCTCAGCCTCCTGATCTTAATGAGGAAGAGAATAGGATTTTGAGGCTGGGAAGAACGTAAGCTGAGATTATCCGTCTAGGAAATAAATTCAGAATTCTGCACTTCAGTTTGCAGTTCAAGCAACTAGTAGATATATTCCTAGACACGATATGTCTGAGTGCCTAAGGAGAACCTGGTCTGGAAAGCAGAATCAAGAAATGTTTTCCAACCAAGTAAAGATAATTTTTCTTTGTGGATGAACCTGTGCATTTCCTAATGATGGAACGCTGGCACTGCTACTGTCAGTTCAAAATTGGTGCACCTTTGCTGGCTGAAGGTCAGCCACGGGGCAGTTTTGGTTCACACAGCTGTTGTGATACCAGCAGCTGGAAGGCACCATTAATGTGTGAGTTAGCCAGTATTTGGGGGAAATACCCTCTGAAAGCCAAAGGACTGTGTGGACGTGTGTGATATATGCACGTGGAGTCTCATACTGCCTGCTGATCTGCTTTAACAGCATTTCATTGATGGCTGTGGGGTGAGGGAAGCTTTGGTTGGGTTTCAAACATACTCATAGTTGTTCTAAATCTAGAATTTCTTGTGGAGTTCTTGTGTAACATGTCCTTTCTCCTGGAAGGGTTCCAGTAAGTGATGTGACAACATGGCCAGCCCCTGTAAATGAGAAGAGAAGGGTGCCCTGGTTCTGCCACAGCATTTTTAGAGAGGTGACAGCCTCATGCTTTTCCCCATGGCCTAATGAGGTAAACTTACTGGCAGCATGGGGCTGTTTCAGGATTGTGGCTCAAGCAGTATCTGAAAATGTCATCTTGCAGGACACTAAATGCAGTCAGTCAGTGTTTCCCAAGAAGGCTAAGAAGAGACTTTGTGCCTTATCAGCTCAAGATGAAATCTGAAGCTTGAGAGGGATTGCAGAATGCACCTAGGATAGTGAGGAAAAAGGCATATATATATATAAAGCCTCAGGTCATGCCCCTGCCTATACAATCCAGCTATTATACTTTGCCTCTTTGCAAAAGAGAAAAGATGAGGATATAGGAAAAACATTGGACTGAATGAGGATGAGCCTGGGAAGTGGCAAAGGCACTAGGATTCCTTACAGCAGGGCTGGTGAACCTTCAAGGAGCAATTCTGAATTCCATAGTCAATAAGCATAATTGAGTAACCTGCCATAAATCTGATATCCACAATTTAATGAGCTTTTGCCTAATTTTAGTATAATGATGTCTATATTCTCAAAATTATTAAATTAGTACTTCTTTTAACTGGCAAAAAGGAATTCTGTAGTAAAAATAATCTAATGTTTTGTGGGAAGACTGCAGCACAATGCATTTTCAAGTAATACAGGAATACTTCTGTAGTTTTCTACTACTATAAAGTAACACAGTAGTTAGTCATTTACAGAATTAAAATATACTAGAATATTGAATTTAAAATAGTACTACAAAACCTAAAATGTGCTATATTCTAGTACATTTTAATTCAGTGCAGCACTATTTTCTTTAAGAGCTAATCCACTGCATCCTACTCTTTTGCAACTTCCCATGCATTCCTGTATGACGTTGGACATGTTATTAGTTCTTATTTGGTCCACATGTAGACATGCAGTATGCATTGGACACTCATGTTTAAAGGCTCTTCTCTGAACCTAAACTATTTAAGACAGGGAATTCTGTTGATGAAAGCAAACAGTTCCCATTGGAAACATTTCACAGTGCCAAATGTGTTCCACCATAGAGGGAATGCTGTGAGAAACTCCACTAGGACAAGAACATTCACTACTGGAGCAGCAAAAAGGTTTGGAAGAGTAAGTTTCTCTGAGCTAAGGCTATGATACTATGCAATACAGATAACAGCTTCTCACCATACTGTGACAGACCTAGTCTTGCAGCCCTGGACTTCACATGCCTGAAGCAGGTTCCTAAGATAAGCTCGGGCAATAGGACTCTACCAGTTGTAGTCACCTGGGTGTCTCCAGACCTCATGGTGGATCAGTACTCCCAGTTGTAAACTGGTTGGCTGCTGCACAAGAGGTGAGGATCCTCCTTTCTCTTCCTCCCCTCTAATTTGTGAGGGCCTAGCCACAACC